CCTGATGGGTGCCAAAAACAGTTGAGTAGACAATGACCTAACCACACCTTATCTTTCTTGGTTGCCCAGCAATGGTATCCCTTAGTGGCCTTCCTGGTACTTTTCCACTAGCCCCCTATATCTAGCCCAAGCCTGTGTATGGCAATGGGCTCTAGCTTTCTTGCTGGGGTCCCCCTCCCACAGGGCTCCTGCCTAAACAATAAACCCTGTACTGGTGTTTGTGCCTTCTCTCTGCCTCTTCCATGCATCTGTTATAAGCCATGCATCCAAAGTCACTTCAAATTATGCCCCAGAGGACCCTGGGGGTCAAAACTTGGCCTGAGGTGCTTGAAGGACTCCTATCCTGAGTCTGTGAGGGTGGAAGTGAGGCCAGAGGGGTTGGAGAGATGAACCCACCGCCAATAGAGGGTTGCAAATAATCCACCTAACCCCCACTGTCAGCTATACATCAGAGGGCATCCAGTCTGGAAAGCACCCCTACACTTCCATCCCCACCCCCCTAATTGTGTCCCAGAGGGTGCAGGGAGTCAAGTACCTCTGGTCTGAAGTCCTTTAAAGTTGAGATTTGGAGTCTGTGAGGGTGGACGTGAGACGCTGAAGAATAGTTGAAGCCACCCCCAAAAGAGGGCTCCAAATAACCCAGGTGCACCCTGTTATCAGAGGGGCACTTGCAAGCTTCTTGTCTCCAGAGCGTACCCTTCTGCCCTCACTTCTTCCTAATGCCCCAGAGGGCTGTATTGGTCAATCCCATTTCTGTTTTCCTCAGAGGGGTGGGATCCGGAATCTGTGAGGAGTGGAGGTGAGACCGTGAATTTACAAAGTCCCCCCACCCCAGAATGAGTCTGAAAATAATCCATCTGCAACCCAGTTATTAACTATACACCCTGGACAGCCTAGTCTTGCAAAACTCCCCACTCATCCATCCGTGGCGCCCCACTCCTAATGCCCCAGAGGAACATGGGAGCCGAGCCTTTACCTGAGGTACTAAGAGGAGGGAGATTTGGAGTCTATAAGGGGGTTTGAGGAGTCCCTGGTGGTGATGAGAGTCCCCAAATTACCCTAATACACCCCAAGTGCCAGACCCCATATTGCAGGTTGTGGTGAGAGCCAAGAGTGGATAGAAGAAAACCTCCCACAAAGAGCCCTATCATAATGGTGATCACTGGCTGTTGTCAGTCTCACGAGATTGCCAGTCCTTCTGCCCCCAACCCCCACCCGCTCCTATGCCCCAGAGGACCCTGGGAGTCAAGCCTTGGAGTTCCTCGGAGCGGTGAGATCCAGGGTCTGTGAGGGGGATGAGATTGTGTGGGTGGACAGATAAAGTTAATGCGATGCAGGGTCCCCCTGAAATCCAATTTCACCCGGGTTTATAAGTCCTCCACCCTGCGGTGTCTAGTCAGCAAGTGGCCACACCTGTCACCCCACCCCCACCTTATACCGCAGAGAACCCTGGCAGTCAAGCCTGGACGGGATTTGCCCAGGCTCCATGAGAGGTAATAAGAACAGAGTGGGAACATAGGAACTTATGGGGACCTACAATAATTTCGCTATTTCCCTTTGTCAGCCTTGCGTACATAGGCATCTATTCAGGAGAGCGCCCTCTTCTGCTTTGGAGGACATTGTGAGTCAAAATCTTGCTCTGAAGTCTTCAGATCTGTGCAGTGGACGGCCTGGGCACTGTGAGCAGTGCAGGTGAGACCCTCAGGTTGAATATAGGAAACCTCCCCCAATAAAGGGTCTCCAAACAATCCAGATGTACCCTGGTTGTCCTGCTGTTCACATAGGGTGGCAGTAGTCAAGTGAGCAACCCCACCATTAGTCCATACTCTTCCATATGCCCCAGGGGACCCTGGAAGTCAAGCCTTGGTCTGATGTGTTTGGAGAGTAGAAGCCAGGCTCCAAAAGTGATGGAGGTGAGAGTAGAGGGTGGACAGAGGAGGACCCCCTCCATAAAGGGACCCACTATAACTCCATTACACCCTGTTGCCAGACTTGCACCCAGGGTAATCTAGTCAGACAAGTAACCCTATCCTCTCCTCATGCTCCAGAGAACCATAGGAGTCAAGCCTTGGTCTGAGGTCCTTGGAGGTGAGATATCTGGTATCCGTGAGAAGCAGAGGCAACAGCAAAGGGTAGGCAGAGGAATGACCCTATAAAATGATCTACAATAGTCCCACAGTACCCCTTTTGTCATCCTTGCACAGGTGGGCATCTAGTCTGGAGAGCACAGTCTTCTTTCTCTTGGGATGGTGGTAGTCTGTGTCTTATTCTGAAATCCGTAGGTCTGTGGAGTGGAGTGGAGTGGAATTGCCTGGGCACTGTGAGTGGTGGAGGTCAGACTTTGACAGTGGACAGAGGACGCCATCCCACAGATAGAGGGTCCCCAAATAATCCAGCTGCACCTCAGTTGTCTTCCCTGCATGGAGGGGGGGGTGCATCTAGTTCAGCAAGTGCAGTCCATCCTACCCCTCTCCTTTTTCTGCCTCAGGGTACCCTGGGAGTCAGAGCCTTTTTCTGAGTTATGCAGGTGTGAGAAGTGGAGAGTCCCGGGCTCTGAGTTGGGTAGATGAGACTTGAGGGTAGACAGAGGAAGCACCCCACCACAGAGGGTCCCCAAACAATCTATCCTCCTTCTACCTCAGGTGACCTCTCAAATACATGATCCCCAAATAATCCAGCCCTGCTGCTGTTGTCATCCATGCACATGGTGGAGTCCAGTCAGGCAAGCCCCTCCCCCACCTTCTCCTTTTGCCTAATGGTACACTGGGAATCAAGTCTTGGTCTGAGATCCTTGGAGGGAAGAGGCATAGGCTCTGTGATGGGAAGAAGAAAGAGCTGAGGGTGAACAGAGGAAGCCTGCTCTCATAGGTAGAGAATCCTTAAAAAATTCAGCAGCATTCCTTTTCATCAACACCCTGGGAGTCAAAGCCTTGGTCTGAGGTATGCAGACTGAGGCTGGTAGAGGGCAGCATTTCAGCTCTGCTATGACTCAATGAGAGGTTCCTGAGAGAGAACAGAGGGGCCCCCAAATCCTATTATTAGCACTGTTTAGCCCAGTCAGGTGACCATATTTCAGGTACCCTAATTCAGGGTTAGAAAGAATTCAGGATTCATTCTTTGGTGAAGGGGACAGGGTCTAGATTGTGAAGCAGAGGAACTTCGACTCCAGAACAAGGGTGACCCAATGGAAGCCTGCCACTGCTGTCAATCCTAGGAGGCTCCATGCAAAATGACCAGATAGGTGATACCCTACTTTCATATCTGAGTCTGAGAGGGGTTAGTGGTTGGGTAGATGGAGCAGGGCCTCAGTTGAGCAGAGTGAGGAGCCAGATACTGCTGGACTTCAAGATGAGGACCTAGCAAGGACTTTGGATGGATCCAGCTCCACCCTTGCTGTGAGCCCTAGGAGGGTGGCCAGGCATGTGATCCCTACGTCTTCATCCTTCTTTGAGAGAGGATATATAGAGAGAGGGTATAGAGGTTTGGCAGAAAGAACATCACCTCAGTAAGAGGAAGGGCCCAGGTCCGGTCAGGACCTATGATGCAGGACTGAGGGACCCAGGTCCCAAACAGGGTCCAACCCTGCCCCTATTGAAGAGACACAGCATTCCAAAGCAAATGTACCCTTCACTCTTCCATCAGCCATGGGAGGTTCTTGGCAGAGTAACCAGATGCAAGACACCTTTACTTTTGCTTCTGGGTTGTCAGAGAGGAGTGGGCCTTGGTCTGAGGAGTGTGATCTCTGCTCAGCAGAGTCCTGAGGGAGGACCAAGAAGATCTTTGATCTAGGACATGAGAACCTGCTCCACCTATCAGCCTAGGGTGGTTCCAGGAAGGTTCTGTGGAGAAGAGATGCCACCTCCAGCTTCCTACGTAGAGTAAGAATTGGGGGTGAGGAGTTGGTGGCCTTGACCTACAAGCAGGATCTATAGGTCAACAGAGTGAAAGATCCTGGGCCTACTGAGAAGTAAATATGAATACCTTGAAGACATTCTAGACAAAAGAAGACCCTTGAAATGTGCTTCTTCTGTCAGCCTTGGGAAACCTCTGCAGGGATGTTCAGATGAGCTATAACCTCATTCTGTCTCACAGGTCTCAGGGAGGTAAAGACTTGAAGTGAGAAGAGTCATCAGGACAGAAGAGGAGCCACATCTGGCCAGCAGAAGGAGGTATCCGAGAATCAGAGTAAGGACAGAGGGAACCCCCTTACCCAAACACATGGGACTCCAGCCCCAACCTTTCCCTCTGTTAGCTACAGGAAAACCTAGGGCATATGGGTAGATAGGCCTCCTCTCATATCCTTTTCTGGTGTCTCACAGAAATAGTGTTTTGACCTTCCTTAAGTCAGACTCTCCTCTGGGGAGTCCTCAGGCCAGCAGAGGACTGGGGTTCAGGCCCTGCCAGGGAAATATTGAAGGCCCAGAGCTAGGACAGAGGAGTCCATACACCCCAGAACAGTAAGGATCTTGCAGAGTTTAGCCCACTGGGTTGGGGGCAGTCTGCAGCCTGAGAGGAGGGAGGGATGTCTCAGTGCCTCTTATACCTGCTATGGGGACCAGAAGGTGAAGGTCTTGATCTGAGGCAGTGCCCTCAGGTTACAGAGCAGACAAGGACCAGGAAGGGTCAGCAGTCAAGGTGAGATGCATACCCTAAAAGTGTACCAAGGGCTCCACCCTCCTAGAACACAAGGACTCCCTCATTACCTGACCTCCCATGCCTTATTGGTAGCCTCACAACCTCAGGCTCTGAGTTGCCTGCCCCTGAGAAGCTGACTCACTTCTCTCAGGTTCTCAGGGAACAAGCCTACCAGGAAAACAGGAGCTTAGATGGCCCTAGAGCACCACCCAAAGAGAAGATCTGTAATAGGCCTTGTGAGAGCTGCCAAGGGTGCAGTTCTCAGCTGAGGCCACTCACATGTTCCTTCTTTCCCTTAGGCCTGTGAGTGAACATCACTGAGTTCTTGCCCTTATTCCTGCCTGCTGTACCCAACGAAAGTCATGATGCCTCATGGTCAAAAGAGCCAGCACTCCAAGGTTGAGGGAAGCCCTCAAGCCCAAAGAGAGGCTTCAGACCTGATGGGTATGCTGGTCCCCATGGCTGAGGAGGGGGAGGAGGTAGCAGTGAATCTGATCCCAGCCACCCTAATGGAGGTGCCTGCTGCTGGGACACCACATTGTCTCCAGAGTCCTCAGAGAGCCTCCTCTCCCCCTACTGCCATGGTCTCCACTCAGGAGAGCCAATTCAGTCAGGGCTCCAGAAGTCAAGAAAGGGAAGGTCTGTTCCCACGACACAACCTGGTAGATATTGTGTCCTTGCTGCATGATGCACTAGCTTTGGTGCCCTTTCTACTCCTCAAGTATCAAATGAAGGAGCTGACCACCAAGGAAGAAATGGTTAATCTTGTCATTGAATGTCACCAGGATTACTTCCCTGAAGTCTTCAGCAGAGCCTGTCAGTGCATGCAGCTGGTCTTTGGCATTGAGGTGAAGGAAGTGGATCCACTGACCACTCCTATGTCCTTGTCCCTGCTGCAGGAATCACATATGATGGGATGCTTAGTGATGCACAGGGCATGCCCAAAACAGGCCTCCTGATAATCATCCTGTGGATCATTTTCTTGGAGGGCAACCATGCCACTGAAGAGGTCATTTGGGAAACACTGAGTGTGATGGGGGCACTACATATATGGGAATTCAAGAAAGCTTGTCACTGAAAATTTTGTGCAGGAACAGTACCTGGAGTATCGGCAGGTGCCCAACAGCGATCCTGCTCGCTATGAGTTCCTGTGGGGCCCAAGAGCCCATGCTGAAACCAGCAAGATGGAAGTCCTGAAACACTGGGCCCAGTTCAGTGGGAGTGATCCCAGATCCTTCCCACTCCTGTATGAAGAGGCTTTGAGAGAGGAAAAAGAGGGTGTTTAAGCATGAGGTAAAGTGAGGCTACTAAAGGTGAATGGGGCTTAGATGACCTTCTAGGGCAAACACTCCAGGGTCACATTCAGTAGCCTCTCCTGCCCCACATGAAATGACGCCCCTTTTTCACTTTATATTTAGAGTGAAATATAAGCCTTCTGCTTAGTGGAGCACTACAGCAGGTTGAAGGGAACAAACTGTCTACCATTTTTGTCCTCCTGTTCTATTTGGGTGATTTCAGAGTTGACCTTCATTTCCTTTGGATTTTTTCAGATGTCCCTTTTAGTTGAAGGTTTAGCTTCGTAATAAAAGGTTATGAATGACAGTAGCCATGCATTTACTGCTGTTAATATAAGTTAGGTGTGAGTCTTGCTTAATTGTACAACCAATTGAGAAACCACTCGCATTTTGTGATCTGGAATAGGATGACATGGCATTGGATTAAATATTTCCTTGGAAATGGGAAAGGACTTAGCTGTAAAAGAGATGGTGTAAGGAAATAAAAGAATTAAAAGTTAATTCTTGCCTTATTATTTTGTCTTCCCTGTTACATTTTAAAAACCTAAGTTGACCTAGATTTCCTTGGCTATTTTAGTATCCAGGTGAAATTATATCTTAGCAAATATAAATCCCTGACTGTCTTATTCTTCAGACCTTTATTGAGCATCTGCTCTTTGGAAGGTCTTTGATTAGTGGTGGAGATACTAGCAAACTAGGATCAGCCAGTCCAACCCTTACCCATGGAATGGTAGGGTCTAGTAGAACTAGCAGCAATATTGGGAAGATAGCTTTCTTCTAAAACATCAAGAACAAGTAAAAGAGAGATGAAGAAATAGGACTCCAGGGGAGAGCTTCTGAGTATCAGTGCCGTGAGCCAAGACAGTTTAGGGCTTGGGGAAACTGCAATTCTTTTCATGGGAGTAAATTGTAATAAAGCTATGTGGTGGTCCAAGGCCAGATCCTTGTATGGTGTGACTTAGGGCTGGGAGAATAGAAAAATGCTCTGAGCAATTCCCTTTGGATGCCAGATAAGGCAGAGAGGAATCTCCTCCTGGGGCAGGTATGAGAGGTGCACCTGAACCCAGCATAAGAGGTAGGTTATTTATCCCCATCATGTGCAAGGATTTCCCAAGAGTTAAGGGTGAATATCTGGTGAAGTGAGACCTTAGTGGCTCCTTGCCAAGTGCTCATCTGCCTGGTTGGAAGAGCCAGAGCTAACTATAAAATGACATTTTAATTTGGTTTATTTTGAACAAAATTTAGCCAATTGTAAGAAAACACTAGATTTGGGGTGGTGAAGGAATGAATGAAAATAGTTATTTGGAAATGGAATATTATTACTCACCTTTAAAAGGAATGAAATTACATCATTTTCAAAAAAATGGATGGAACTGGAGATCATCATATTAAGTGGAATAAACCAGACTCAGAAAGACAAATACCATGATTTCTCTCATATGCAGAATCTAGACTCTCCCAAAAATGACATAATTGTTAAATGGGGACTATTTGGAGGAGGGGAATTAGGAGGAGGAGGCAGACGAAAGAAGAGGGTGATCAAGGTGGAAGGGAGGTGAATAGGGATAAAGGATGTATACATGAAAACAGAATAATAAAACCCATTAAAAATAAGAAAATATGTGTTTGGATGAAAAAGTAGCTGGGAGTAAAGGAAAGAGCTTCCCAACAAAGAAGAGTCCTTCACACCCCAATTTTGCAATGTGACCTTTAAGAGGGAATATTTCCTGAATTTTATTCATGAAATTTCATTTCAGATGACAAACTATTCCATGTCCTATGAAGCTGAATTTTCTCTGATATTTCCTAGAGAATAGTAAACTCATGATCAACATTCCAAGGTGGACAGGATTGGGATCAAATACCATTAGAAATAACAGCCACTGCCATTCACTAAGTTCTGGCATACATAAGACACTGCAGCAGGGATTTTACATACAAAACATGCATTTCATCAGTCATACTGGACAGGTTTTATCGAACTCACTTCACAGATGAATTGCAAGAGAATCACAGCATTGGGGAAATTTCCCCAGATCACTGGCTAGTAAGTGACAGGGCTGGAAGGAGATCTCGGGTCTTAATTCATCAGGAGCCTATGCTTTTCCTACTTCTCCCAGCCTAAGGGTGACCTTCTAACCCATAATCCATTTCTTAGCACTATGTAATGTCTCTCTGGTGACAAACAGATCCTGGAGGAGGCCAACATGCTTAAAGCAGCCCTAAAAAATGGTGACAGTGCAAATCAAACACAATTTAGGGATTATGTGTGGTTGGTTCCTTGAGACCTGACTCTGCCCCAGTGCAGGCATTTCTGTCTAGTCTCAGCACTTTCTTGCATGGTCATCTACCATGTGCCTTCCACTATGTCACCAGGCCCTTCCTTGCTGCCACCTCTGGAGGCTGTAAAGGATCACCTGTCCTCCCCCTGACACAGAGTGCTGCTACTCCCTGGTTCTCCCACATCTCACCCTCAGTCTGATCTGATAACTCTGGCCCATTGGCCAGAAAAGTTCACTCCATACTGTAAGTTTAGACACCTGGCCATCCCTACCTGGGAGTTAACACATTCTTTGCTTTCCCAGTGGGATGTGAGGAGACTTTGACTTGGCCGTTAATTTACCACCTCTTGGGCAGATGGAGTAGTTTTGAGGGCATTTGAATATTTGCTCTAGGACTTTTTTGTGTGTGGGGAGGGTGAGACCAGAACTTGAACTCAGGGCTTCATGCTTGCAAAGTAGGTGCTCTACCACTTGAGCCAAACCTCCAGTTCATTTTTCTCTGTTTCTTTTAGAGGTGGAGTCTCAGAAACTAGTTGCACTGGCCTGCCTCCAACCACGATCCTCCTGATCTGAGCCTACCAAGTAGTTAGTATCACAAACATGAGCCACTGGTGCCTGGCTATGCTCTAGGATTTGTTTTTTGTTTGTTTTTTGGTTGGTTGGTTGGGTTTTTTTGGTTTTTTTTTAACGACACCGGGGTTTGAACTCAGGGCTTCATTCTGTTAGGCAGGCACTCGTACCATTTGAGCCACTCTTTCAGCCTTGCTCTAGGATTTTTAATGAGCTTCTTATTTGAAACTGGGAACTGGATGCATAAACAGATCTTCTTTGGATGATCAGAACTTGGATCCCCCTCTTAAGTGTGACACTGGAATCCTCTTGGAAGTGAGAAATAGTTCCTTGGTGGCCATGCTAGTACAAATTTGTTTTTGTTACTGTTGTTGTTTTGGGGTTTGGGGGGACGGTACTGGGGTTTGAACTCAGGGCTTCATGCTTGCTGGGCAAGTGCTCTAACAAATTTGAAGAAAATTCTTTATTCACGGTCCTTCCACTGCTTCCTGTCTGGCACCTGCTCCACAGGAAAATATTGGCTTTCAGTGTCACTAATGTTCAAGTGTTCAGGAATGAGTGGTCATGATGAACATAGCAGAGACCCAGAGGTAAATAATTTACCCCTGAATGAAATGAAGGGAGAAAATTCTCATCCTACCAAGAGGATGGAGAGTATTTCAAAGGGAAGTACAGAAAACTGCTACTGAGTGAAAAAGGTGAACCCTCTCTGCTCATATTTACATGATCTTCTTCAAATGACATGGAATATAGTGTACAATTTAAAGACATCTGTCACATCTGTAGGCACTTAACAATTCAGAGAATTTCAAGGCAAACCTGGCCTTCTCAGAAACTTCTCCTAGAGATAAAAAGCATTGTTGCTTAACAAACCATAGTAGTTGCTTTTTGCCAAGCACTACTAGGTAACAGTTTCTGAAAGTAGAAGTATCCATCCACAACTTCTCTCCTACCTGATCTCAGGGAAACACTACTGACCACTGTAATTAGGAAAGGGGCATGTGACTATTCCTTACCACTGAAGTATGAGTAGAGGTGCTATTTGTCACATCCAGGCATTTGACAGCCAGTATGCCTTTCCATTCTTCTCCTGCCTTTCAATAGCAAACACAGCAGCCCCTCATTCGCATCATGGAACTACAAGATAAAGCAGCCTAGATGTTTGGGGCACCTGAGATTGGAGACGTACTACCAAATGACACTTAAATTTACATGCCCACCAGAACAACCAGAACAATCTTTTATTGTCTTCAGTCATTCAAATACCAAAGTTCATCGTTTTATCAGCTAGCAGTTACTATAACTTATACACAGCTACTGTTTTCTGTTAGGTTATTTAAATGTTTTGGCTGCATAAATACTGCATTTATCCTTGTTGCAAAGATTCTAAAAATATAAATATATCATAAAGTGATCCTTTTCAAAATTCTTCTATAATTCAGTCCCCTCTGAGATCACCACACCAGATGATGAATCTGGTGTGTATCATTTTAGGCATTTTCATAAATACATGTTCTATAAAATATATTGATCACTTAACATACATGGATAATGGTGTATCTATTGATCTTATATTGGCCTTAACACTTAATAAAATAGATGCCAAAATTTTATTTCAAAAATTCTGTACTAATTTGTTTTATCATAAAAATCACAGATGATTTTAAATTCTGAAACGTCAACAAGATATCTCCCCCTTTTGCTTTGAGGCTCAAAGACACTGTAAAATGTCCAGGAGTCAGGAAAGGAAAACAAAGAGGACACCCTAGCAAAGGGTATTGGGAGGATTCAGAGTCTAGCAATGGCCAGCATCAATGAGAGGAAACATATACAAAACCAACTCAAAAAGCCTCAGGTGTCTGACACTCAGAGCTGTGGATCCAGAGCTCAACACAATGGGAAAGGGAGCAGAGGGGAAGAAGGAAGTACATGAATAGAGATAAGAATTATGGAAATCATCACCATCAGCTAGAATTTGCAATGAGGCCTAAATGGGAAGATTTATTGGATTATTGGACCAGAAGCACACCAGACCCCCAGTCCTCCCTTAGGATTCCCCTATCTATGTTAGGAAGAGCATAGCTTGTCCCATGTATCATTCTGGGTGAGCTGCATCTATTGACCATTTTAGTGGTGCAGAGCCCCTTGGCCAATGTCCCAGAGATAGAATATCCCCTAATGCCTACTGGGAGCTGATGTTTTATTGCCTGGTTTCAGTGGAGCCTCTCTGAATCCCACTATGTGATGGGGTGGGATAGTGACTGATGACTAACAGCTGAGACAAACCAAGAATACCAATGAGTAGTGAA